GAAAAACTATTGATACATGAATAAATAATTCAAAAATTATTACCCTAAGTGAAACAGCCAGACACAAAAGACACATATTGTATGATTCATTTATAGGAAACTTCCAGAAAAGGCAAATACATAAAGAAAGCAAATCAGTGACTACCTGGAGAAGTTGGGAGCAGTGATTGACTGCAAATGGGCAAAAGGGACTTCTAGGGGAAACAGAACTATTCCTAAATTGGACCATGGTGTGATTTTAAAACTCTACCTGCTTCATACCCATTAGGATGGTTATTCTAATAAAGAAATAAACAAGTGTTGAGAATGTAGAAAAATTAGAATGCTTGTATGATGTCAGTAAAAATATAAAATGATGAGGGAGCCTGGCTGGCTCAGTCAGAAGAGCATGCAACTCTTGATCTTAGGGTTGTGAGTTCGAGCCCCATGTTGGGTATAGAGATTACTTAATATATAACTGCTCTGGAAAATAGTATGGCAGTTCCTCAAAAAATCAGAAATAGACTTATCATATGATCCAGCAATTTCATTTCTGGGCATATACCCAAAGAATTGAAAGCAGCAACTCAGGGCACCTGGGTGGCTCAGTCGGTTGAGTATCCTACTTCAGCTCAGGTTGGTGAGTTTGAGCCGCGCATCAGGCTCTGTGCTGACAGCTCCGAGACTAGAGCGTGTTTCGGATTCTGTGTCTCCCTCTCTATCTGCCCCTTCCCCATACATGTTCTGTCTCTGTCTCAAAGATGAATAAACATTAAAAAAAATTGGAAAAAAAAAAGCAGCAACTCAAACAGGTAGTTGTATACTTGTGTTTGTAACAGCATTATGCACAACAGACAAAAGGAGAAGCAACCCAAGTGTTCATCAATGAATGCACGGAAAAACAAAATGTTGTACATACATACACTGAAATATTACTCAATTTTAAAAAATAATGAAACTCTGACACATGCTACAACATGCATGGACTTTGAAGATAACAGGCTAAGTGAAATTAGCCAGAGACAAAAGGACAAAACTATCCAATTCCACTTGTACAAGGTACCTGGGGTAGTCAAATTCATAGAGACAAAGTAGACTAGTGGTTGCTGGGGGCTGGGGAGATAGGAGAATGAGGAGTTTAATGGGTATGATGAAGTTTCAATTCGGGAAGATTAAAAAAATGCTAGGAATGAGTGGTGGTGATAGTTCTACAACAATGGGAATATACTTAATAACTGCTGACCTATATACCTTAAAATGGTAAATTTTATGTTTTATATACAGTAAAACCTCAGACTGCAAGTAACTTATTCTGTGTTATGCAAGATGAGCAAACACTACTAATAAACTTTAACTTGATGAATGAGCGATATCTTGCAATAGAAGCAGTACATGACACCAAACATCAGATGATCACAACTGAGCCAATGGTTCTTGAAATTAGCTTTGATACACAAGTGCTTTGGATTACAAGCATGTTTCCGGAACGAATTCTGCTCGCAAACCAAGGTTTTACTGTTTATTTTTTACCATAGTGGGGGGAAAAAAAACAACTCTACAAATGTATTAACAGCCATTCAATTGTAATTTACAATGAGTAAACTTTATCTTATGTAAATTTTACCTCAATAAAGGTGTTAAAAAGTTTTAAATACATTAGGAGGAACATATCCAAAGAAAGTAAGAGTTAATATAAAGTTCTAGCAATTAAAAAAAAGTGTGATATTGGTAAAGAAATCAACGAAGAGACTAATGGAACATAATACACAACCCAGAAACAGAATGGACACAGAGGATGTGTGACAGTGAAAGTGGCATTTCATATCAGGATAGAGAAAAGTTTCTAAAACAAGAATCAAAAAGGACAAACTACATGGAGGAAAAAAATGATCGATTTTACATTACATATTTGAACTTAAAAATTTTTTTTCAATATTAACTTATTTGAGAGAGAGAGAGAAAGAGAGCATGCACACAAGCGGGAGAGGTGCAGAGAAAGAGGGACACAGAGGATCTGAAGTGGCTCTGTGTGGACAGGAGAGGCTGACGCAGAGCCCGAACCCACCAACTGCAAGATCATGACCTGAGCCAAAGTCAGATGCTTAACTGCCTGATCCACCCAGCACCCCTTAACTTTTTTTATATATGTATTTTTAGGTTTATTTATTTATTTTGAGAAAGAGAAAAACAGAGAGAAAGCACACACAGTAGCATGAGAATGAGTGGGGTAAGGGGAAAAGAGAGAGAGAGAGACAGAGACAGAGACAAAGAGAGAATATCCCAAGCAGGCTCCGAGCCCTGTCAGTGCAGAGCCCAATGCAGCGCAGGGCTTGAAACCACAAACTGTGAAATCATGACCCGAACTGAAATCAAGAGTCAGAAGCGTAACTTACTGAGCCACCCAGGAGCCCCTACATATTTTAACTTCTGTATAAAAGTCATATTAGGGGCGCCTGGGTGGCGCAGTCAGTTAAGCGTCCGACTTCAGCCAGGTCACGATCTCGCGGTCCGTGAGTTCGAGCCCCGCGTCAGGCTCTGGGCTGGTGGCTCGGAGCCTGGAGCCTGTTTCTGATTCTGTGTCTCCCTCTCTCTCTGCCCCTCCCCTGTTCATGCTCTGCCTCTCTCTGTCCCAAAACTAAATAAAAAACGTTGAAAAAAAAAATTAAAAGTCATATTAAGTAAAAAAGACAAGCCACAGACCTGAGGTTATTTGCAACACAAATATCTGATACAGGATTAGAACAAATATATATAAAGAACTTTTCTAAATCAGTAAGAAAACCAATGAGACCCCAAAAGAAAAATAGGAAAAGAGGGGCACCTGGGTGGCTCAATCGGCTGCGTTTCTGAGTCTTGATTTCAGCTCAGGTCATGATCCCAGGGTCTCATGGAGCAGAGCCTGCTCAGGATTCTCTATCTCCTTCTCTCTTTGCCTCTCCCCCACTCACGCTCTCTCGCTCTCTCAAAAATAAATAAACAAGAACATTTAAAAAAAAATAAGAGGAGGGGCGCCTGGGTGGCGCAGTCGGTTAAGCGTCCGACTTCAGCCAGGTCATGATCTCGCGGTCCGTGAGTTCGAGCCCCGCATCAGGCTCTGGGCTGATGGCTCAGAGCCTGGAGCCTGTTTCCGATTCTGTGTCTCCCTCTCTCTCTGCTCCTCCCCCGTTCATGCTCTGTCTCTCTCTGTCCCAAAAATAAATAAACGTTGAAAAAAAAATAAATAAATAAAAATAAAAAAAAATAAAAAAAATAAGAAGAAAAATGAGAAAGGATATGTATGAATATAGACATTTCACAAATAAGGAAATACAAATGGACTACAGACATATTAAAAGATGTTCAGTCCCACTAAATATCCAAGGAAATGTTAATTAAATGGGGTATCATTTCACAACTCTACCAGACTGACACAAGTTCAATATCTGACAATACCACATATTATTAAGGATTCAGAAAACAAGTATTAATAGAACCACTTTATTTTTATTTATTTATTTATTTATTTTTTTGAGAAAAAGAGACAGAGCATGAACAATGGAGGGGGAAAGAGAGAGGGAAACACCGAATTCAAAGCAGGCTCCAGGCTCTGAGCTGTCAGCACACAGCCCAATGTGGGGCTTAAACTCATGGATTGCAAGGTCATGACCTAAGCTGAAGTCAGACGCTTAACCACTTAACCGACTGAGCTATCCAGGTGCCCCGATGTTTATTTATTCTTGAGCAAGAGATAGAGCATGAGCGAAGGAGGGGCAGAGAGAGAGGAAGACACAGAATCCAAAGCAGGTTCCAGGCTCTGAGCTGTCAGCACAGAGTCCGATATGGGGCTCAAACCCACAAACAGTGAGATTATGACCTGAGCCCAAGTTGGACGCTTAACCGACTGAGTCATCCAGGCGCCCCCAAAAAAACACTAAATTTAGAAATCAATTTGGGAGAGTCTGGTAAAGTTGGTATACCTTGGGCAATTCTGCTTATGGGATATATACCCTAGAGAAACTATTATACATGGTAAGAAAACATGATTTAAGGATGTTCACCCCAGTTCAAAAAAAAAAAAAAAGACAGAGAAAACGTTAATAGGGAATGGGTAAACTGTGATCCAGTCACACAATGAAGCACTACATATGACTCAACTAGAAAATCTACATGTATTGGATTGGTTAAAACTCAAAATAAAGATGAGTGGAAAAAGTAGGTTGCAGAATAGTATCTACTCTATAGTACCACGTTATGTTAAGTTTATAAACACACAAAACAGTGCTATATATTATTGACATACAATTGATATTGATAATATACAGCAAAGCTGTTAAAACACGAAGGGTAATAATAAATAGCAAAGTTTAGACAGCATTTACCACTGTGATGGAGGAAGAGAAAAGAAAGGGAATAGAGGAGGGGTACAAAAGGCTCTACAATTTTATCTACAATGTTTTAGGTCTTTAAAAGTATTTACAGAAAATTTTGCAAAATCTAACATTTGTTAAATTGGGCAGTGTTCAATCTTCTCGGTACTCTTCCATATGCTTGAAAAAAAATTTAACAGGCTTTTGGTCAAATGAAAACATGTACATGTACCAGACAGCAAGAGAAAAATATTTATCTTTTTGGAACCTACATTTGTAAAACTATTCTAGCAATGTCTCTCTGGTGCCTAACTCCCTTATTGTGATAGAAACTTTCAAGTATTTAGGCAGAAACATGCTGTACGTGTCAGAGTCTCCTTTTCCCTAACAAGATTCTTCTTACAGAATGCTGCCCAAGGAACTAAAAAATCTGGCTATGTTGATACCAGTCATCTCTTTTATCAACCAACACAATCAACGTGCCATCCTCTGCCAATATCAGCATAGTTTAAAAATCTTTTAACTTACAACTAAATTATCCCCCTGAGTCATCCTAAGTTTTATCACAGGTCTTATGCAAATCCATACTATGAATGAGCCAAGAGATAAGAAGACCAAAATTACACCTCTTTCTAGTTTTAACATAATTTTCCCTCTCTGCCCTACATTCTTCAGACCCACACACCCACAGAGGACTCAGTATGAGTCCTCCACGTAGGTGCAGTATTTCTGGATCTTCCAATCCTGGGCAGATTCACGCATCGAGGAGTGTGTCCGTTAGTACCAAGAGGAACTGAACATGGAATTCTGCTTAACCAGCAACCTAGGATGCAAACTCCTAAGAGACAATAAGAGAATGACTTTTCCATCCAAGCATGATAAGTACATCAAACTGAAAATGATGCCCAGGAACAAGCAGTTCCAGAAACAGGAATTCAAATAAAAATGACTTTGTAACATTCACGGTTGTGCAGACCCAACGGCAGCCTGTCTGTTTTTTGCTACATTTCTGCCTCAGTTAAAAGTACCATGGGGCGCCTGGGTGGCGCAGTCGGTTAAGCGTCCGACTTCAGCCAGGTCACGATCTCGCGGTCCGTGAGTTCGAGCCCCGCGTCGGGCTCTGGGCTGATGGCTCAGAGCCTGGAGCCTGTTTCCGATTCTGTGTCTCCCTCTCTCTCTGCCCCTCCCCCGTTCATGCTCTGTCTCTCTCTGTCCCAAAAATAAATAAAAACGTTGAAAAAAAAAAAAAAGTACCTTAAAGAGTATACTTGTCCTTTCTCTTCAAAATATGGAAAAAACTACTCAAGTCTCATGAAAATCTTGAGTTCTTAGCATTACTTGTTGAGTGTCAATGTGCATGTGTGTATCTCTGTTGGGGGGTGGGTCCGGGGTGTACGTGGTTCTGTGAGGGGTATCTCTGTGGGTAACTGTTGGGGACTCTCTATGGAGATACATGGAGTCTCTCTGTGGGTGTGGGTATGGGTCTGTGTGTACGAAGGGTCTGGGTAGAGGGTTGTGAGGAGTTCTGTTTCATGTAAGGGATCTCTGGATGTGTTTGTTTTTGTGTATCTGTGCTCATCTGTGTTTCTAGGACTCTGTGTCTATCAAGTATTTTATTACAAGTCTTGTAACAAGCTTTATTATACATATCTACCCTTCCAAAAAACCGGAAAATGATTTTCCTGCCTCTCTACTCTGAGGTTTCAGAAAAGAAGCATGAAATAAGACCAACTGCCAAGCCAGTATTACACAACAAATAAAAAACTAAGGTTCTGGTGAGTACACACTAACAGAACTAGAGTTGCCTGAGATTGTGTATTCCTAACAAGCTCCCAGGAGATGTCAATGCTTCTGGTCATGGACCAGTTTGAGTAGCAAGGACCTAAAGGATTCCAAACTTAATAAACTGCCTCTAACTACACTTCCTAGGTAGATTTTCCAGAGTATCCTCTGCTGGCATGTATATCACATCAGCGTGAGCATTCTACATCTAAGAAATTACCATTTTGTTTTACATACGCGTCTCTTGTGAGTTTGTTTTGAATGAGCCTAAGAAGTGAATGACCTCTAAGTGTACTAAAAATGTGAATTTCAGAACTTGTAAAGCTAGAACATGGACATTTCAAAAAGGTTCTGCTACACTGTGAAACCTGTTGGGTAGGCAGCCAAGTACTTTTCCCAAGGTGATACACCCCATTTCAATACTGAACTCTTCAAACTGCAATGATTCCTGCTTCCAGTATTGCTCATATCACATCAGACTGTATTTATTTATTTTCATATCTAGATTCCCTACCCTCTCCTTGAGAGCAAGAATGATATTTTGCTGATTTAATAGTCCTACCACTTAGCAGTGTTTAGCTCACAGCACATAAAAGGTTTTTTTGCACAAAAGTAGTTCACAATACATTAGGGGAGATTATTAGAGAAGTATTCAGAAGTAGTAAAGGTGCTTCCCTGTTTCTATAATATAGTCCAGCAAAGGTCCTAAAAAGGAATTAGCATTAGACCAATCATCTTTTTTCTTCCTTGTACAAACAATAGGTATGAAGATAATAAAAATTCCTATTCTATTTCTGTCTCCCAAAGCAGAGTCACCCAAGACTAGACTCAGTCAAGCTTTATCCAACAATTTTATTGAAGAAGACACTTTATTTACCTGGTAGGAAGAGAAGTCTGTCTTTAACCTAGAGCAGGTAATGTCTACCTTTGGAAGATAGAAACAAAAAAAAATGAAATGTGAATGCACACAATTATGCAATGAAGGCAAAATTTCTTCTTCCTATAATCTCCTTCTCCCTATTATGTATTCAGTTCCTGGCAATGACTTAAAAAAAATAAGGTGTCATATTGGAAAAGGACCACACATTTTTCCAACTTAGTATAACTGCAGAAGGGGAGTTCCTCTGTAGACCACTGCTGCATAGGATGTGTATCTGAGGTATCATCGAGGCTCCAAATTCTATGAAAACATAAATCTATATCCACTAAACAAGAACAAACATAATTATGCTTATAAATATGTAAAATTTGCTACAATAGCAAGTGCTTCTATGAATTACTCATCACAAGCACTTAGTACAAGGATGGCAAATTTTTAGTGCCATTCTTGAGTTAAACAGTCTTCAATCGGAAGTTACTTCTATGTGTCCAGGTAAAAGTAAAGAAACGAGAACAGTGAAGAAGGACAAGTTAAAGAGAAAAACATAGAAAACAAACCCCGAAAAGTAAAATATTAAATTTTATTTGGGGACAAATAGATCTATCTTACATCACAAAGTAGTCCCTATCTCGAGGTGCCTGGGTGGCTCAGTTAGTTGGACATCCAACTTCAGCTCAGGTCATGATCTCACAGTTCGTGGGATCAAGCCTCACAGTGGGCTCTGTATTGAAAGTGCAGAGCCTGCTTTGGATTACCTCTCTCTCTCTCTCTCAAAATAAAACAAACAAACAAAATAATCCCTATCTTACATAACAAACAAAATGAATTCCAGATGGACTGAGGACCAAAATATAATAAACACAGCCATAAAAACAGTTGAAGAAAATATAAAATAATTTGTTTATAAGCCTGGGGTAGAAAATGCCACTCTAAGACACAAAATGTTTAAGCCATAGAGGAAAACAATGCCCAATGTGACTATGTAAAAACTTTTTTTCTAGAGAGCAAGAGATTGAGCATGCACGAGTGAGTGGGGGTGAGGAGCAGAAGGGCGGGGGGAGAAAGACAGAGAGAGAGAGAGAGAGAGAGAGAGAGAGAGAGAGAGAGAGAATCTTAAGCAGACTTCAAGCTTAGCATGGAGCCCGACGTGGGGCTTGGAGCTCAATCCCACAATCCTGGGATCATGATCTGAGCAGAAATCAAGAGTTGGACTCCCAACCAACTGAGCCACCTAAGTGTTCCTTTCTTTCTTTTAAATCTTAGAAAAACTTCTAAATTCATAAAGTCACAAGTCAGTAAGAAATAAAACAGAAAAAAATACTTGCAACATATACATAATTAATATCCAAAACATAAAGAATTCCTACAAGCCAACATGAAGATGGCAGAGATCTTCCTCTAATTTATTCACTGCTGTATCCCTAGCACTTGGCACATAGTAGTTACTCATAAATACTGTTAAGCAGAAAAAATGCTAATAAAAACAGTAAATGATTTTCCTCATGAAAGATGTAAATCCAGTGGTTGGTAAAGATGTGGTGAAAGGTTATCTTGTTTATAGTTAATTGATGTGTAAAATGGTACTACATTTTTGAAGGCGGCATTAAGTTTAAAATGTAGGGGCACCTGGGTGGCTCAGTTGGTTGAGTGTCTGACTTCGGGTCAGGTCATTATCTCACAGCTCATGAGTTCAAGTCAGGTTCTGTGCTGACAGCTCAAGGCCTGGAGCCTGCCTCGGATTCTGTGTCCTCCTCTCTCTCTGTCTCTCCTCTGCTTGTGCTCTCTCTCTCTCTCTCTCTCTCTCAAAAATAAATAAACGTTAAAAAAAATTTTGTTAAAATGTAGATGTCTTTCGGGGTGCCCAGGTGGCTCAGTGGGTTAAGTGTTCGACTTTCTGTCAGGTCATGATCTCGCAGTTCACAAGTTCAAGCCCTGCGTCGGGCTCTATGCTGACAGCTCAGAGCCTGGAGCCTGCTTCACATTCTTTGTGTCCCTCTTTCTGCCCCTCCCCTGCTCGTGCTCTGCTTCTCTCTCAAAAATAAATTGAAAAAAAAATTTTTTTTTAATTTAAATAAAGAAAGAAAGAAAGAAATAAATCGTAGATATCTTTCAACATCAGAATTCTACTTTTAGGTATCTACCTTAGAGAAACATTTACACATGCACACACACAAAAATGCATACAGGTAATTACAACAGCACTGTCTATAAAGAAAAAATATTAAGTTAAATGTGCATCAACAGAAGAATGATTTAATAAAGAACAATGGTATGGACTTTGGAAGTCAATTCAGGGTTAAAAAGACTTGAGATAGATCTGTGTATATTGATATGGAAAGAACTCCAAGTGAAAAAAAAAAACAACCTACAAACATAATAGTATGCTTTATTTATGTACAAGTTATTATTATAAAACTACAAATTTCTCTATGCACAACTCTGAATGTAAGGTCAGAAAATAAAAGTCAAGAAAGAAATTGATAGCAGGAGTCACTTCTGAGGAGGGCAATGAGACTTGCTGAGGGCCAAGGAAGGACTTCTGCTTCATTAGACTGAATTATTTTGTAAGAAAATACTTAGGCATTACTTGTGCAATTAAACACAATTTTTTTTTTTAATTTTTTTTTTCAACGTTTATTTATTTTTGGGACAGAGAGAGACAGAGCATGAACGGGGGAGGGGCAGAGAGAGAGGGAGACACAGAATCAGAAACAGGCTCCAGGCTCCGAGCCATCAGCCCAGAGCCCGACGCAGGGCTCGAACTCACGGACCGCGAGATCGTGACCTGGCTGAAGTCGGACGCTTAACCGACTGCGCCACCCAGGCGCCCCTAAACACAATTTTTTTAAAAGAAAGAAAAAACAATGTAAACAATGTAAACATCTTAACTAACGTAAGAAAACAAGAATATATTTTGGGAATTAGAAAGATAAAAATACCCACTTTGTTCATGTTAGTTTTGAAGTGCAACCGCAAGTAGGCATTTGGACACACACAAAATTGGCATTCAGGAGAGGGATCTTGGCTAAAGAAATAATTTGGGGAGTTGTTGGGATGTAGATGATACTTAAAGGCATAGGAATGATGTGGATGATTTAGGAAGAAAACACAATGGAAAGAACAGAGGGCTCAGGATAAAGGAGAAAGCCAACAAAGGGGACTGAGAAGGAGCGCCCAGAGAAGTGAGAGGAAAACAGTAAAGGGCAGTGTTGTGGAAGCCAAGAGAGGAAAGTGTTTGGGTAAGAAGTTTGGGTAAGACCTACCAAGAGGTCTTGATGAGGACTGAAAAATCAGACCACCATGTTTCCCAATC